ATATATTTACAATTGTAATGCTAAAATCAATCTTCATAAAAATTTATTATTATTTATTTTCTATACTAACGTACAGGTACAGAATTGTTTAAATTCCAATACACAATCATAATTATTTTAAGAAACTTATTTTATGATTTATATTATTATATTACATGAATAAGAGAAAATTTTCAAGAAATATATTAAACTTGTATTAGCAGATTCATGCTATCCTAGTAACAAGACTATCATACTTCAAAACTGTATTAAAACTGGGCAAAATAAAATCAACATAAATTCTACATTAAATGTTTAAAAACTTATAAGTATGCAATGGTAGTTATATACAATATAATAAATTTTGTAATTTTAAAATATTAATGGAATATTTTTGGAAATAATGTACAAATTTTAGTTTTATTTTATAACTAGTTTAACGAATTTTTAGAAAAATATTTTAGGTCATTCCATCTTTCCCCCTGTTGATATTGGTATATAAAATATATGGAATAATTAAGTTGCATCTAGTTAGTAAACCAAAACATTACGAAAGTATGATCGACATATTTTTAATCAATAATATTACTTCATTTTGGAATTATAACATATTCGTAAGAAATTAATACCATTGAAAAAAATATATTATTACACTAAAGAATAAACGAGATTCTCGACCGCATTGTTCAAGTTTTTGTAATTTTACTTCATACACCTCGTACATAAACATATTAGACTGAATTATAAACCAAGTATAATTAATTAGGTAATCCTAGAAAAAGAATAAACTAAACCTAGTAAGCAAAAATATACATTACATTCAGAATTCTAAAGTACATAAATTTCTCGCAGCGCTGAAAAAATTCAACGTTTTTGGTCGACGTGCAAACGAGCTAAACATAATTTTGTTTCAAACCACATACGTTTAATTAATACCACAGGATTAATTTGAATAATTTTAAAAAAAATACGGCAATTAGGGTATTATCGATGAGGAACGCAGAATAGGCTGCATCAACAAAGTTCAGTATGAGGAGCTGCGTGACGTCATTAAATGGGTGGGACTAAGCTTATGACGTCACAATGTAGTCTCGCATTTACACTACGTGTACTTTCTATTTTCTCTTAAAAATAACAATAATAAATTGTTTATTATTGTAAATTAATATCAAATTCTTTACTTTTAATTTACATTTATAACATTTAAGTTTAGGCGTTACTGATAATAAGTATAATAAATTGTTTATATTTAAAATTACCATGATACAGTGAGCGAATTCTACCAATTATTAAAACGATAAACAACGTCGCAGTCTCTAATAGTTGTAGAGCTTCAATATTAAATTATTATTTTTTTTATTAATTTTTTTTTATTTATACAAATAAACTATTTTTTTTAAATTTAAATTCATATTGTGGAACATTTCAATTTTATCATTTTTACAAATTACCTTCTTGCTACGTAACGACATAATTCCTTACATACCAATAATTAGACAATTTTCATTATTTCTAAAAATTTTAAACTTTACGTTAATAAAAAAGAATATTTTTTATTGCATATGAACATCATTACACAGCTTTCATATCAGTTTCTAAAATTCCTAAATCACGCTATATTCTGTGTAGGCATGCTAGAATTCTACGCATTAATAAATAAAAAAATCTAATTTCTCAGAATGAAAGAAAATAATATAATAAAATAAATACTACAAACTTGGAACACTAAGCAATGCTTCACATACGCACACACACACACATATTATTTGCAATTACGATACCAAACACTACGTATTAAAATATGAGGTAAACGTTACTTCAAGGGTTAAAGTTTACAGTTTTGCTACTGTTGAGTCGATCGTCGGACTATCCATATATATCGTAAGTCGGAAAGCGTTATAAACATATCAAAAAACAAAAAATTAAAAATACAATTTAAATGAAAAATTATGTCTTAAATATAATTCACAATTAAAACAACAATACAAATTTAAAATACACAAACGATATGTTAAACATTGCACATAAATAAAGTTACATTACTCCTCGACATCACGCACAACCTCGTTTTCCCTTTTACACAACGATCAGTATTCGCTCGAAAAACATCAAAGAATTCCACAAACTCGGTGTCCATGTGCTCATTTATCTATTTTCACTTAAAGAAAAATCAGAGAATTGCTCAAACTCGGCATTGCGCACCACATTGGCTTTGCCCATGTGCACATCGATCTATTTTCACTTAAAAAACATCCAGAATTGCACAAACTCGGCATTGCGCACCACATTGGCATTTGCCCATGTGCACATCGACCTATTTCACTTCACTAAAAACATCCCAGAATTGCACAAACTCGCATGCGCACAACTCGGCATTGCGCACCACATTGGCTTTGCCCATGTGCACATCGATCTATTTTCACTTAAAAAAACATCCCAGAATTGCACAAACTCGGCATTGCGCACCACATTGGCTTTGCCCATGTGCACATCGATCTATTTTCACTTAAAAAAAAATCCCAGAATTGCACAAACTCGGCATTGCGCACCACATTGGCTTTGCCCATGTGCACATCGATCTATTTTCACTTAAAAAAAATCCCAGAATTGCACAAACTAGGCATCGCGCACCACAATTGCAACATTGGCTTTGCCCATGTGCACATCGATCTATTTTCACTTAAAAAACATCCCAGAATTGCACAAACTCGGCATTGCGCATCACATTGGCTTTTCCCCATGTGCACATCGATCTATTTTCACTTAAAAAAAAAATCCCAGAATTGCACAAACTCGGCATTGCGCACCACATTGGCTTTGCCATGTGCACATCGACCTATTTTCACTTAAAAAAACATCCCAGAATTGCACAAACTCGGCATCGCGCACAAACTCGGCATTGCGCACCACATTGGCTTTGCCCATGTGCACATCGATCTATTTTCACTTAAAAAACATCCCAGAGTTGCACAAACTCTGGCATTGCGCACCACATGGCTTTGCCCATGTGCACATCGATCTATTTTCACTTAAAAAACATCCCGAATTGCACAAATTTGGCATTGCGCACCACATTGGCTTTGCCCATGTGCACATCAACCTATTTTCACTTAAAAAAACATCCCAGAATTGCACAAACTAGGCATCGCGCAACCACATTGGCATTTGCCATGTGCACATCGACCTATTTCACTTAAAAAAATCCCAGAATTGCACAAACTCGGCATCGCGCACAACCTCGGCATTGCGCACCACATTGGCTTTGCCCATGTGCACATCGATCTATTTTCACTTAAAAAACATCCCAGAGTTGCACAAACTCGGCATTGCGCACCACATTGGCTTTGCCCATGTGCACATCGATCTATTTTCACTTAAAAAAATCCCAGAATTGCACAAACTCGGCATTGCGCACCACATTGGCTTTGCCCATGTGCACATCGATCTATTTTCACTTAAAAAACATCCCAGAATTGCACAAACTCTCGGCATTGCGCACCACATTGGCTTTGCCCATGTGCACATCGATCTATTTTCACTTAAAAAACATCCCAGAATTGCACAAACTCGGCATTGCGCACCACATTGGCTTTGCCCATGTGCACATCGATCTATTTTCACTTAAAAAACATCCCAGAGTTGCACAAACTCGGCATTGCGCACCACATTGGATTTGCTCATGTGCACATCGACCTATTTTCACTTAAAAAACATCCCAGAATTGCACAAACTCGGCATCGCGCACAAACTCGGCATTGCGCACCACATTGGCTTTGCCCATGTGCACATCGATCTATTTTCACTTAAAAAACATCCCAGAGTTGCACAAACTCTGCATTGCGCACCACATGGCTTTGCCCATGTGCACATCGATCTATTTTCACTTAAAAAACATCCCAGAATTGCACAAACTCGGCATTGCGCACCACATTTCTGGATCTTTAAAACTCAAGCTATGATTGACTTTCAGGTGCGCATACCCTTCGAACTCGAGACAGTCGTACGCTTTCCAACAATCGGATATAATAATCGATCCTGGTAGAACATTCTCTTTAATGATTTCTAGCAATGTTTCGGCACCTCTGTTTTCAACAACTCTAAAGACGCATTTATCCGTTCCTCTCTCAACCAAACCAAAAACCCATTTTCCTTCGACTCTTTTACCTCTATGATACTTTTGCTTGCCAAACTTGCTTTCGTCGATTTCGACAATGACACCTTCCCCACCCAGCTTAACATTCTCCTTCAAACATAACTCCATGCATACTTCTCTACAAAAACTTTTCCAATCTGTCACCGTATTTTTAGCAATACGTAATTCCGTTCGTATAAAATCATTCCCGCACTTACCCAACCACATATAGGTAACTCGCAAAACATCACACATGCTCAATTTACTCTTCGCAAACCAGGAGTTCTTTCGAACTGATCTTGAAATTCGATGCCTACATTCGCCTCCAGTAACTCTGCACATCCACTCAAAACCGTCTATACGGTTTTTTCGCTCTACTAGTTTCATATTTGTTCCACAAATCGGGCACTTATACGATATTGCAATCAAACCTTTCTCCATACACCACTCAATAACACATTTTTTATCTCTTCGCTCCAACTGATAAAAGAAATCCAGATTCAAATACTCATCCATTCTGCAGTAAGCACCGAATTAAACACACTCATGAATAATCAAAACATTCTTTAAGCAAAAGAATTCTTTTCTGTATTTTCAGAAGTTACGGTTATAATTTTTAATTCATGCATTCAATATTTTCAATCGTTTGCTAATGATCGTTTTCAATCGTTTGGTATCTTAATAATACATTTGTGAGAGATAATTCGTTGCGCTAAATGCTAACAATACCACACAACACACAAAAGTAGATTTACAATTTAAAAAATCTCGCACAGAACATTATAAACCTACCATTTCAACTCAGTTAAAATATAATATAAGTTTTCTTTAAATACGAAGCTATAGCATACTTATAACTTGTTTTGAAGAAGAGGCGTAACCAATATTACGTCATAAAAAGGCGTGTCCAAGCATAAGAGAAGTAAACACAGCATCGACTGATGCAGCCTATTCTGCGATTTACCCTCGGATGCACAATGACAAAATACTACTATTAGATCTGCATTTGGAATAAATATTCTGCACTATTTCAACTCATTAGACATTACGAACACTGATATTAATTAATCGCAAAGCTTAAACGTTTAAATACTTACTCACTACATATAACAGTGCAAAGTGCATGAGAATAATCTGTATAAAATGAACAAAAAATATTTCAAAACGTAATTGTAAACATTTTCTTACTTACCTGCGCTGTACAACCAACATGCATTCACCCATGTTTTTTTTCTGCAGCTAGCTTTCAAACACTTTTCTTCTGATTGGCTTAATTTCCAGTCAGTCACGTGATTCTTCCGCGCGGCTACTGAAACATTATCTGTAATGTTACAGGCAAATTAGCTGTACCAGCCACAGTTTGCTTTCAACCTGTTACCATTACAGGAAATTCTTGTGTAACCTTTTGATTTCTGTAACTTTACAAAACTTTTGCCTGTAAAGAGACTTTTTTTTTACAGTGTTAGGTAGATGGATTGACTGAATGTACGAAATCCCCAGGCAAACGGAGATTAATACCATATACCAGTTCGGCAGAAGAGGCATTCAGATCCTCTATTAACGCTGATCGAAGACCTAGAAGTACAGTAGGTAACACATCAGTCCACTGTAATGCAGTGTGTCATCGAATTGATTGTTTTAAGGAGCGATGAAATCTCTCGACAATTCCATTGGAACTTGGATAGTAGGTTATTATGATTAGTTGAGCCCTGTTCACAAGAGCAGATTCGACCGGTAGCGAAAACCGGTTCTTCAAACGTGTCCCGTTCACATGGGAAAAGCATTAACTGCCTCGCCGAATTGGAGGTAGAACTTGGTGAATGTTCCTTACCTCTCGGGAGCAGGGCAAATGGGGAGATTTCCCGTACTATACTGCGCGGTTCACTTAATTTTAGTTACTGCTCGCTGGACTGTCAGCGAAACAATCGCGCTGATAGATGTCTGGGGATGTGATAGCATAGCCCCAAAAATTAGATAGAACTGTACAAGATACGGAAATTATAGACAAATACAGACAAGGTTATATGATGCTAGGTATTCCAGAAATATCGTTCAAATTAAAATTAAAGTTAAGACAAATGCATATCGGCTTCAGTGCGACAAGGGACTCGGTACCTTTTGAATGATTTTTTTAAAAATCATTTAAGCATTTTCAGCTACTTTTTATGAATATTATTAAATGGTTTTGTGAGACAAAATAATTTTAAGATGAAAAAAAGTTTTTGCTAGTAATTTTTTTAATTTAAATTTTTGAAGAAAAATTTTACAATTAAAAGGTCTTTCTTCTCCTACAATTTTCAATGTCTCCCCTCAGTTTTTTTATTGTATTTATTAGAGTGTTCTTAATAACTTTAAGGAATGATTTTGCAATTAATGAATTAGTTTCTGAGAAAAAAAAATATATAATTTTATCTAAAATCTTTAAAACAAATATGATCTCAGTCACATTTTCATTTCAAATAATTTTCCTTTCAGTATTTTGCAAAACCCATCCTTGTTTCTATAAAAGTTATGATTTTAAATAAGCAGTAAAAATAATAAAAAATTTAGTCCATACCTGTATATGTTTTAGGAGTTTAAGTAAAAGGATTTATTGAAAAAAAAATGCAAAAGGTTTCTCAGTTTGCATTTGCAGTTTAAAGAATACAAACTGTCTAAACAGACATTTAATCATTTCAAATCTTTAAAATTTTATTACTTACTGAATTTAAATAAACATATATATATATATAAATCAAACCTAGTGCTATTTATTCAATTGGTAAATATAAACATAAATTACAATACTTTTTTTTAAAACCTTATGTGGCCAGAAAAATTGCAAACTCATAAAACGCAAGCAGAAGTTTCCTTTACCTGTTTTTGTTTTTTTTCAAAACACGTTTAAAACAATTTTAATACATTGATTAATCATAATATTGTTGCGTGCGTACGGGTTTGTAATAGATTGATAATAGTTCGTAAATGATTATCATTGGACTCAAATCCGATGATAGCTTAATTAAATTAATTTTATCAACAGAAACACTTCAAAGTTCTGGAATTTTCCACAGAAATACTCGTACAAATGTTTAGAATATCACTAAGTATAATCAGTAGTTATGCTTCAATCTAATAAGAACGTTAAACACTGGAATGCAAAACGCATCTTAAAAGAAAGTTAACTCAGAAATATCTTCAATCTCACGCTGAACTCACAACTGGCAACAATAACAACTTATATAGCATAAATAATGTCATAAAAATAGTGTGGTATAACGAGATTATTACTTTGAAACCGCTGTTTCGAATTAATGCCCAAGAAGAACCAATATTTCCCATTTTGCTTCATTGCATATCTTTCAAAACAGTAAAAAATTCCTCCAATTAATTTCCTTTATCATTTTTTTAAATGCGAAAAGTTTGTTTTATAAGCTGTTAAAATGTCGGAAGTTTGTAACCGATATATTTTTATATATGAAATTTTTAAATTAATGGGCGTCAAAAAGTCTAAAAATATGAACGATTTTCAAAAATTCTCTCAAAATATTTTTAAAAAAATTTTGCTAAAAATTTCATTAAATTTTTCCCCTCCACAGTGTGTTATGGTGCAAAAAAATATAATATTCTGAGATTCTCAGTTTATTTGTTAATATTTGCAAAAAATCGTTTCAACTTTAAATTTGAAAAAAATCTAAAGTTCAGGTACCAGTTGCGAACGTTCAGATTACAAAATTAACATCAGTAAACAACGTTAAAAATGTGTAAACAGTATTAGAAATCTGCCAATTTGGAGACGAGATTCTTCACAGAGGCTTAGGTGTAAAGGGTAGAAAGACGGTGGTCTTCTGAACGGGTCCTAAAGACAAAACTCTTTCCCGTCTCCTTCTTCTCCTCTTGCTAACGGCAGCTGTGCGAAGGAGCGTTGCATGTGAACGGGGCTTTAGTGACTTGAAGAGTTGGGACTCGAACTCTGGTCAGTAGAAATCTGCTCTGGAACTCCAAATCGAGAAATTCAAACGGTGTAAAATGCCTTTGCCACCGTATCAGCTGAAATATCTACCAAAGGAAAGATTTCGGGCCAGCGAGTAAATCGATCAATGCAAGTAAGAATATAGGAATATCCATAAGAAGGCGGCAATGGCCCGACCAAGTCGAGGTGCACGTGAATGATGCGAGATGAGGGCAAATTAAAATTTTTAAGTTGGCTGGTGTTTGTCTGACAATTTTAGATCTTTGGCTCTCCGAGCACGAACGTGTCCAGTTGACTATATTCCTTTTGCATGCTAGGCCATACGAAACGTTGCTGTATTAGTTTCCTCGAAACCTTGATGCCAGGATGTGACAGACGATGTAACTGACTGAAAATGGCATGGCGAAACTCGGAGAGTACACAAGATCGAAATCTTGAATTCTGAACATCACAATAAAGTGATTTTCCAGGTGACAGCTACATAGGTCGTAAATTGAGATTGCTGGGAGATTTGCTTTTCAAGAGGGTTTGTAGTTCTGAATCCCGGTCGGTTATTATGATTAGTTCCATCATAATAACCTACCGGGAAACATCCAAAGTTTTGTTCATCCGAAAGGGCAGCAAAGTTTATTGGCGGAGGAACGGCTAGTTCTTCAATACCAGACAAGGTCTCTGCAACAATATTCTACGAACCCTCAATATAACGGGTATCTGTTAAAATTGTCCTATGAAGTCTAGGTGTCTCATTTGACGAGGAGAAGCTTTATCCGAACTCTGTTGGAAAGCATAGGTTAAGGGTTTGTGATCGTTGAAGGTCATGAAAACGCGTCCTTCTAGCATATGTCGAAAATATTTGACAGCTCCATAAATTCTTAATAATTCGCGATCGTAAGTGCTGTATCTGGTTTGTGCTGGTGAGAGTACTTTAGAAAAATATGAAAGTGGTCTCCATAATTCTTGATCTTTCTGTTGTAAAACTGCTCCTATACCTGTTGTTGATGCGTCAACGTAGAATGATAATGATTTAGATGCTGAATGATACTGCAAATTTGCTGCCGGAATTAAATAATTTTTGAATTTTCGGAACGCTTCGCGAGATCCTGTTATCCAGCTTATAACACGTTTATCGTTTTTCTTGCTTCCAACCAAAAAGAATTTAGAGGTGCTTGTATGGTCGTTGCGTGAGGTAAGAAACGTCGATAAAAATTGAGCATAGCAAGAAATCTTCTTGAGTCCTTCACTGCAGATAGTTCAGGCATATCGCGGATAGCGGTGACTCTATCTGGAAGGAGTCAAACGGTAAATCAACAGATATCAGGCATTCACCAAAAGTTTGAATAGGAGTTCCATTTGCTGCATAAAGTTGTAACTTAATAAGGCGCTTTTGTTCGTGCAAAGGAGGTGGAACGACAGAAATATCAGTCCCGGTGTCTACAAACACCCCAGACGATAGATCTTCGACCCAGGTCCATATTCTAGAGGACCCATACAGAGTTTAGATATCTAGGGTCCGTGGGACCTCATCCTCGCGGGCGCAACT